GCTGAATGAAGCTGTGACAGACTTCTTTACTTATCACGATGGATCTCCAAAATCTCTTGACAGCTGGAAAAGGGTGAGAGCATTTTYTTGTGTATGGTAAAGCTTCATGGGAATGAGAAAAAGAAGTAAGGGAAAAACCGTTCCTCTTCTTTCCWCCTTCCCTTGATGCCTTTCGCGTGCGAGAGAGGAGAGAACAATTGGGAACGAGTCAGTGGCTGAACGCATGTCATATAAAGATATTGCTGAAACCACAATATGTGTTTYATGCGATATAAAGGTCATGCATGTGGCCGAAATGAGATACCTCCATTGGTCATAATAGCTCATGAATTATTAATGAGATAAAATAAAATAWAATTGAATTTTCAGCTATATTTGGTATACCTTCATATCAACCTTTTTTTGTTTTTGTCATTCACAGAGTGAGCAGTTTGTGCACACGAACTTAGGCTATTCATTGGGCATTGATGGCCTCGTCAATTCACGTCCTGTGGTTGAACCAACAAATATACCCAACTGGGATACATTTGATAATATTGTTTACAAAAAGGTAACGTTTGAGAAGTTTCAGATTATGAAATCCAGCTCTGTAGATCTCTGTTAACATCGCAGACACGTTAAAGCCTGGTCTTTAGGACATAAGCACAGGCATAAGGCGGGAACAAAAKGAAAGACAAAGGATTGAAATCAAGTATATGGCATAAGGCATCGACATAAGTCTTCAAACAAATGCAAAGTAAAACGTAAAAATAWAAGTAAAACGTGCGAAATAAAAAGTGTTTTTTTAACAGTTTAATAAATACTTACTATTTACTAGTAAGTTTATACATTAAGCAGTTGAGTGAAATACACTTTAGCGCACTACARTTTATGACCCTACATGTTGTTGTTTTTGTTTTGTTGTTTTTTCGGTGTGTAACACATTTTTACACTYTTTCACGATACTAAACAATCAAATTCGCATAATTTAGMAGTATTTAATGGCACAGTGTACGCACTAAATCCGTGAAACAAATATTACTAATAGTACACTAAATAATGTTGATTGGACATTAGAAGACAAGRGAGTTAACATGCAATTTAGTAAACGTTTGTACTATTTACCCGCAACTTCCATAGTCCGGTAAAAACTTAAACCATTTCTTTTGTACTTTTTCAGGGATCTTCACTTTTAAATATGTTGAAGAATATTTATCCCAAAAAAGAAGGCTATATTGAAGGAATGAAGGTATTGCTCTATCAAATAAATACTTACATGGTTATTAATATTGTGCATTTAAATGGCCCTTCGAGCCGTGCAGGAAATTTRCTTTTAAAATCATAGTCCACCCCTCCCTCGGAAATCKAATGGTTATCCCCTTAATACAATTGGGTCGGAGTTGAAGGGTGAATGGCAATATATAAACAAAGAGCTATTGCTATTTATCTCATTAATAAAATAATTTAGATACTGCGGTCGCTGTGATTGGCCGTAAACTGTGTTTACATTACAGTGTACAAACGTAGTATTATTTGTCAAATATAACTTTAGTATAAAGCTATTTCAAAAAACGTTGTCGGGGAGAAGGGCGAACGGCGATTGTCGAAGGGAGAGTGCGCGACCGAAAGAGACTGGTTACACTGTTTTGAAAAACAAAATTCCACTTATAGGATTCACCTTGCATACAAATGGAAACTAAATGGAGTCAATTTTTACCACGGACCATCTTACAGTACAAATCAGTTGTTATTGCCTTTCAACTAGCAAAACCCATGGTTACTTTCGGTCGTGCAATCGGCGTTCGACCATTGACATTCGCCATTTTATCCGACAATATAGCTATTTCAAAGAAATAGAAAAAAAAGAATAGAAAAAGAAATTCTTTGTGAATGAACGACCGAAAGTTATTATTAAAAGTTGAGTTACTATTACACCCGATTTCAAATGAGTGCGAACTCTCGAATTTTTTTCGGATGCTAAACTTTCGCTCGACCGTCATTCACTCGACCACTTGGTAACCTGGCACAGCTTGAAGCGGGTAAAATTATCCAAGTATAAAAACCACGGTAAATGTATGTCTGTGGGCTAAATTCCTACGGTTTGTGATCGCACTACAAAACGAACTTATTGTAAAAACTAGTTTCGGTTCACTTAACTTTATCAGCTCACAATTACAACGAAACAGTTGAAAAATAAATAGCGTGACAAACACTGACAAGCGCGGGCACTTTAAATCGCTTTTAGTGTTTGTAGGCTGTTCTTTGTTGATTTTACTAGTTTACTGATTAAAATGAAGAGGTTATCGGACGATATTATTACGGTTCAAGCATTAAGGAAACTTGTAGAGCGTTATTTGTAGGGAAAACTTTTGTTTGTAAAATTCGACAACTTTATAAACTTACAGGAAATGTTGCTGTACATACACATGTAAGTGTCATTGTAAACTTGTATTCAATCAATCAGGGTTTTTACAGTAATACGAATAAGAATATATTTACTTCTTCGAAAGAAGGTTACATTTAAACATAAGCTACTTCGTTTTCAACCTTTAATTTAAACAACAATGTTGCAATTATGTTTTCGCTTGCTTGATAATTTTTTTATTGTAAACTTAAATTGTTTACATAACGAAAGAAAAGAAAAATGTGTATTTTAGTTCAACATAAGAATATCTTTTCAAGATGCAGAAAACAACACCCTCAAGTTCATGGTTCTTGCAAAGCTATACCTAATTGTGCAAAGTATTATTTGCATGCATTTGATGTTTACAAGTTAATAAAGCCAAATTTAAACTACAAATCAGATAGAAAATTATATTTTTTAATCAAGTTTAGTTGATATTCTTCTAATTGTTCTAAATTGCATGGAGTGAAGTAGAATGTTCTGGGAAACACAAGGACCACAGATATCTCGAACAAAGACCACCGCTTCTTCCTCCATATTTCTAAATGCGAAAGTCCCGCTACAGAAAGTCACGCATCACTTACTAAACACGTGTGCCTGGTTACCAAGTGGTCGAGTGAATGACGGTCGAGTGAAAGTTTAGCGTTCAAAAACAAAATTCGAGAGTTCGCACTCATTTGAAATCGGGTGTAAAGTTACTATTTAAGTATTAAGTATCTCCGTTCTTTACGCCAATAATTAGACTGTAATTAACCTCATTTATTTGTTTTAGACTTACCTTACAAGGCACTCTTATAAAAATGCAGTCGGCAGCGACATGTGGGATGCTTTGCAATCTGTAAGTTGGAGTATTCGTTGTATACCAAATTTAATCTGTAGCAACACTTTTAAGTTAAAACTTGATAAAATGTGAACTTGATTTGTAAGAATTTACCGGACAGACCTTCTTTCAGGCAGGCACGTGTGCAGTTGGTGGTCCCCCCTCCCCCCTTMCCSCCTTACCGCCATCTTCCTTGGCGTAGGAAGCATAAGACTTTATTTGAAATATGAGACTTTATCTCCCAAATCAGATGGTCTAACGGTTTTTTCAGTGTGAATCCATAACAACACTAGCGCAATTTTGCAGTCAATCACCTACACATTCTTGWAACTACATGACAAAGCTGGAAACACTGGAAACACTCCTGAAAATGCAAAACATAACAGAGTAATAATATAGCAAATGCGGCCAGATCCTGCTGTTAGATGGTAAATACTTAACTTTAGATGAAGTTGAGCTTTCGCTTTTCTACCGCAAGAATGATACTGATGATGCTGTAGAACAGCGAAAGCTCGACTTCATCTAAAGTTAAGTATTTACCATCTAACAGCAGGATCTGGCCGCATTTGCTTTATTATTACTCTCCTCTACTAACATGCTGCTGAAGGATAACTTCTTAAGATTAACAAAACATAACACATCATAACTTAACTTAATCATTGTTTGTAGACGTGTACGGACAAGGAGTGTGCTGACTTCAAAGAGTTGATGAAAACATGGATGACAGAGACCAACTATCCCGTCCTTACCGTCAAGAAAGGTGATGGTGGAAAGTACGTCGTTCAACAAGAAAGATTTGTTTACGACAAAACTGCYAAAGTCGACAAAAGGATGTAAGCTCATTTGCATATAACCTTTTTTCTCTGTTTTTTTTTTTTTTTTCGTTTTTTTTTTTTTTATAAAAACTGATATGAAAACCATTGAAAAGCATAAAACATTAGGAACAAGAATTGAGATTTTGAAACAAAAAAATTATCAGATCCAGTAAAATCCGTTATAACATTAAAATGTGACTCCACTTGTATCTTAACGTTTTATGACGTCAAGAGTCCGTCAGTAAATAACTTACAACTCGAGACCGTACTTTGTTTATAAGAACGCCTGGTTTTGCTTCAATGTTCAAGATGGTTGCCAGTTTTTTCACGTGGTCTGTTGTCGAAAAACAATTCTTACTTTTCTTGTATTCACTCACAATTCATTCATTTTCTCAGGTGGGTGCTACGTTTTTCATACGTGAAAAGTTCAAATAATCAGTCGGACCAAAARCCAAAAACTCTCACAAATAAATGGATGAATAACCCAGCAGAGCAGAAGCCACTAGAATCAAGTAAAACTACAATTTTATACATTAACGTAACAGGCCTTTTGCCTGAAACGGTCACATGCTACTAAATCCGCCATATTGGATGACAAAAGAATGTAAACATCACCAAAAAATTAAGGAAAACAGACCGTCTAACGTGACTTTTCTTTGTTTTGAAAATCATAGTGGGTATTTTGACATCAAGAATGGTGGGTTTAGTACCATGTAACCGTTCCATGAAAAAGGCTTATCGACAAGTGAAATTTTCTAACCATGTTTCATAAAATAGTTTCGAAATTGTTTATAGTCGATTGGTACTGATCAAAATAATCCGTAATATTTAGTGGTTATCCAGTGGGACGGTCGAGGTTGGATAAAAGGCAATTTGGAACAGAAGGGTTTCTACAGAGTCAATTATGAAGATACAACGTGGGGGCATTTGTCCCATCAACTAGAATACAAACACGAGGTTCGTTTATAGCATTGTAAATTCTATAACCTCTTTTAATACTAAACACAGTWAAGTATCAAGCAAACCATGGACTATCACAATTCCTGCATGATTCTCATTGGCTATWTAGTTATTCATGYCGACCATGWATAGCATTGTGTAAATAAACCATATTCTGCAAAACCACGACGCCATAAGTCAAAAGCTAAWGCTMTGTCGATAAAAAGAACTTGCAGAAGGATGTAAGTTTAATTTTAAATTTATCCTTTAATCAGCCTTGTGTCATTCCSGTAGCTGTGCTGACTGCTAACTTCCAAGTTACTGAGTTAACAACCTTTAGCAGCCAGAACTGTTAAGAGGAGTCGAAAGAGGCTCATAAGAACTGTCTGTCCCAATAAARATTAAACTTATATCTCTCTACAAGCTYTTGCTCTTGTCAGAGAACTTTAAAATTCGTCTCATTTGCGACGTCGTTGTTCCCGTAATGTCTGCTAGCGTTCACAAATGATGATTGCGATGACAAGAATTTTAAAATTAATATCAACTGATAATAATCTGAATAATCTGCGCCCGGTTGCACGAGGGCGAATAGCGCTTTCCACCGGAATAAATCCTTATCTAGCGGTTAAAACCCATACATAATCTTTGAAGTTGATAAGTTTATCCTYCGTTCATCTCTAATGTAGTTTTCTCAATAGGTTTTCTTCGCAACTGATCGCTATGGTCTTCTTGATGATGCATTTAACCTAGCAAGGTAATAACCATCTTACCAAATCTTGAAGTTTTCTGGTGACCGCGGTTTTTGGACAATATAGAATGAAGTTTGTAAAGATCGCTGAAGTAAACTTTTTATAGTATCACGTGATGTCTGACGATAGGACGGACATTTTCGTAGCTGTTATAACAATAGGCAATTTGTACCGACGCCATTTTGTGCATCAAATTATGATGGGAGTTGTTGTACTCGCACTTTTTTATGTCCGTGAAGTCAGTCTACATAAGTTGTTTTTGACTATTCTTTGGAGAAATAGGAGTAGTTGTGTCGCTTTTACAAACAAGCGGCTTTAGGGAGTTTTTCTTAGTGCCTATGAAAAGTGCGAGGACTGCAACTTCCATAGTGCTTTATTGTACAAAATCGCGTCGCTACGCATTGCCTATTTATTTGTTTTTGCCCTCATGTGTTAGCATTCGATTTACTGACCTAGTATTTCTCATTATTGCAAATTTGACTTACTGACCTTATTTCCCATTATTGCAAAGGGGAGAGAGAGTGAGCATCAAAAGGGCCATGGACATGACCAAGTACATTAATAAAGAAAGGGAATATCTACCGTGGATGGCAGTATACAAGAATCTACAATATATCGTAGGGATTTTACCTAGCGATAGCGCAGTTAATCAACATCTTAAGGTTGGTGACTTTTAATGTGAAACCTTGATTAGAGCGGATTTCGTATGACTGTGAAACGGCACGGATCACAATAAGGACACGGCACGGAACGGTCACGGAACCTCCCTTCTAGGATTCCAAATAAAAATGAAGATTTAACAATACATCATCGCTACGGCACGGTACGGTCACAGCACGAAAGTACCGTGTTTTTTTTTTTGTTTGTTTTTTTTTTGTTTGTTTGTTGTTTTTTTTTTTGTTGAACAGTCATACGAAAGGCCGCTCTAAATTTACAGCTTTCAATCAATTACTGTGTATTTTCTTGTATCATCTGAACCGTAATTTCCCGGGCTAGGGCTTTTTAAACAACCTTTGGAAAAATGTACGTGATCGGGAACTTACATATGTACGCCTCTGCTCCAGCGGGTCATACTCGTGCTAACTCTCTGATGGATTCCCAATGAAAATCTTCGAAAGAAGGCGATTCTGACTTGTTCACTCTTTTGCCAGCCCGATGGTATTTTCAATTTTCTGGACCAGTTCTGCGAAAATACTCGCTCCGCTCGGTCCGGCAATAACTGCATAATATTTGCACTTTCTATTGTGGCGCTCATCAAGTTGTAAATTGTTTAATTGTATTAAGAATTGTAAATGTTTTTGTGTTAGAGCATTAGAAAATTAAAAAAAAAATATTTGCACTTTTGACTAAATCTGTTTGTTTATTTTTAGAAATACTTAGCGTATCAAAGTCAGTCCTTTTACGACTCTCTTGGGTTTAAGAATACTGGTAGCCATCTTGAAAAGTAAGTTTGGAGGAGTTTTGGGAAAAATTACTGGTGATGTGGAGTATGCTCACGTAAGATTTCACATTAGGCCCTGTTTACATGAGATAAGGTGCCCCTAGGTAGCAGAGTCGAACCTTTTGTTTTTCTATCCTCTAGGGAAAAGAAAGCAAAAGTGTTTGGCACTATCACCTAGGGGCTAATGACAAGAACTATCAGGCCAATAGATGTATTCCTTTTACTGAAGTAATTCAATTCAATTCAACTTAATTCAATTTATTATCAGTTTATGACCAATCAAGAGTTTTACTACAAATGTACATGGATTTCTCTATGACGTCGTTTTTGCAATAAATTGATGTCCCTAGAATAATTCACTTAAACCTCAGTATTCACAATGATCAA